AGACCCCCTAAGCTCCATTCCGAAGAAAGCGCCCTAATAAACCGGACCCCCCCCCAATTACAAAAAGGCGACTTTAAAAACCAGACCCAGGGGACGATTAATAAGGGATTTTGAGTACGAGGAAAATAGAGGCCTCGCGCGGCGCGTAATAGAAGTATGATTTAGTCCCCTTGTCAGTCTCGTAAGCTATGGGTCGACGCTCGCGCGGCGATGCTCCGGAGTCAGTCCGACGTACATCCGACGCAAATCCGACGTAGTCCGACATGAGCCCGACGTAGATCCGACGTGGATGCGACGTGAATCGGGTCTCACGTTGCCGCGCGAGGCCTCCAGGATTTTTTCCATGACATTCCATCACATCGTTCGGCGCGAAGATCGAGGGCAAAGGCGGACAGCCTGGGTCGGCGGGGTGCTCCAGCGAGTCCGAGCCCCGCCGTGAACGGATCGCCATCAGCACTCGTGTACTGCCCAGCAGCCACGCGTTCCCCAGCTGCACCTTCTTCAGCTCTGGTCCTCGAAGTCCTGGTCGACCCCACAGTTTGATATCAGAGTCGCAATCCGGAGGGCAACCCAGAGTGTTCCAGAAAGGGTTTGGGGGGCCTCGGAACCTCGTCAAGACCGGGGGTGCGAGGCACCTGGGGGACCCCTCCTAGAAAACCCCCTCCCCAAAAGCCTCCTCTGGAGCCCTCCGGGCAACGGGGGGGGGGGCCCTCCCGGCTTGAAGAGCACTGTGTCGAACAACACGGACTCTACGTCGGCCAGTCGTTGCAGTCTCCTCACGTTGGTCTCGTCCGTCAGGTCGAACTCCGGCCCCAGCATGGCACGTCCTCTTCCTCCTCCTCCTCCTCCTCCTCCTCCTCCTCCTAATCCTCCTCTTCCTCCTCCTCCATCTTTTGCCTCGTTTTTCTTGTTGCGCCTCAGCAGCGCCCTGCGCGGCAGGAGGGCGGGTCAGTCGAAAACCGAGCGGCCGAGCGGTGAGCAAACCCAGGGATCGAGAGAGGGAGGGAAGCCAGGAGCGCGAGTGCCCCAGTGGAGCAGGGGGGCCGACGTCGACGCTCGTGCAGCTCAGCACGTGCCCCCGCACCCCTGGGATCCGTAACGGCCAGCACTCATCATGGTCCTCCCCGAGCGCAGCGCCCGCACCGAAGTCGAGAGGCTCGCCTCTTACTTTATTTGTGAATTTAATTGGTTTTAGGGTTTGAACAAATGGTCGCAGCCACGCAGAGGGCGTGCGTAGCGACGCACCAAATGCTCGGCCTCCAGTACTTCCACGTGGCGGCGCCCCCGCAGGCACGCAGAGGGCACGCGTGGCGTCGGGGGGGGCGTCGCCACGCAGAGCTTCTAAAGACCAAACATTTTGAAAACCAATTGTTTCCACTACTAAAGTACACCTCGAGCAGCGCACGCCGCAGCCCGCACCCCTGAGTCTCCAGGAGCGGGCTCTGACTGCAGAGGATGAGGAAGCGCTCGAGCGCGGCTGCGCACCCACACCGTCGTTGCGTGGGGCCCGCGCCGCTTGCCGCAGCGGTGTGCAGGCCATGGGCGGCATGCCTGCCGCGACTCCTCCCCTGCTCGGTGCGGAGAGAGGTGTTATTTTATTTCCGGCGCAAACTCAAACAACCTTCTGGGCGACGAGCGCTCTGCAACGGCAAGGTCAATATGTCGCGGAATGCCTCTTGGAGGCGGTGAGCATGGCAAATGGTCGAATGGCACAGTTGTATCCCCGAAGTGATCCAGACCGTGCTGGTGTCTACAGAGGAGGAGGGAGGACGCAGGGTAAATCATAAAAGGGAAAGGAGGAATGCACAGTCGAGGGAAGAAACACGTCGGTCGTGACCAAGATGTCGCGGGATCTCGTCGACGGCGATCGTGGTCATGGTCCATGCTTGTCGTCGCTAGCTCGCGAGGATAATTGGCGAGTCGACGACGACCAAGCTGGATGACGATCGGGATCGGTACCGACGCTCCCGCGTTCGGCCGTGCCTTCTTTTCCCGCCGAAGCGCTCGCCCTGGATGTGGCTGCGCAGGCAGTGCAACACATACAGCGGGGGCCCGTGCCAAGAAGCACCCTGCTTGCCTCCAGGGTGCCCCAGGTTTCTTGGGTTTCGATGGTTCTGCTATGAAAGCGCGACGCTCTCGCGCCAAACATCGATGGCCGCCCTGGGGCCTCAGGGTTGGGCTTCCTGTGGAAGGCTCCTTGTGGTCGGGCCCCCACTGTAGGAGGGATGCTGCAGTGCCAGCGAGGGAGTGCGGGCGGGAAAGAGAGTCAGCTTCGCGGGCCGGGCCCTAGGGCCTGGACTCCGCGGACGCGGGGCTTCTCTTCTTGTTCCGCGGGTGCCCCGCGCGGAGAGCACCCGTGCGACCGCGTAGATCCACGGGATCGAGGCCGTGGAAGCCGGGCCGCGACGGCGCGGATGTGGCTGCGTTCGCCGCTCGTGAGAGGACTCGGGCCCTGCGAAGCATAGGAACGACCCCACGGGCAATCGTAACAATCGTACCTGCCGGGGGGGGGGGCCTGCGGGGGGGGACGGGGGGCTGGGCCGCATCCGGGACGGATTCCAACCGACTGGGCCTAATACAAACCAAGCTGCATCTGTTCCAAGCAGCCCGAGAAAACAAACTGGTACGAATTCCAACTGGCCACGTAGCCTCACTGTATGATTCATAGCTGTCTGGCAGTGTTAGTATATCCCAAACCCAACTAATCTTCTTATGTATGTGCATATCTTCCAGAAGCTGACATGACTGTCCGGATTGCAATGTGTACAAGATGTTTCCAGAGATGCTGTAAGGGCTTAAGGATGTAAGGGTTTGAGGGATTGGGCGTTGTAAGGCTTAAGGGATTAAATTTCAGGGCTTAAGGGTTCCAGGATGTTTAATGCTTGTTTGGATATGTCAACAGTTACGGCTTAATGGTTCAAGGACTCAAGGGTTTAAGGGTTTAAAGGTGTTGGTGTGTAAGGGTTTAAGAGCTTAGAGGGCTCAAGGGTTGAAGGGCTAAAGGCGGCTGAAGGGTTTTAGGTTTAAGAGCTTAAGGGCTTAAATATTGAAATGGCCTCCGGCCAGTGCCGCCGATCCGGGGCGCTTCGGATGATGATTATGATGACGATGATGATGATGATGCTGATGATGATGATGATGTTGATGATGATGATGGTGGTGATGATGATGATGACGATGACGACGATGACGACGATGACGATGACGATGACGATGACGATGACGATGATGATGATGATGACGATGATGCTGATGATGATGCTGCTGATGATGATGATAATGATGATGATTATGATGACGACGACGATGATGATGATGATGATAATGATGATGGTGGTGGTGGTGGTGTTGGTGGTGGCGATGCTGATGATGATGATGATGATGATGCTGATGTTGTTGATGATGCTGATGACGATGATGCTGCTGATGATGATGATGAGGAGGAGGAGGATGATGATGATGATGATGATGATTTTGATCATGGCACTGACCATGATGTCGATCATGATGATGGTGATGGGGATGCTGATGCTGATGCTGATGATGATGCTGGTGATGGTGATGGTGGTTGTGATGGTGATTATGATGTGGCGCCCGGGACTGTTGTTCAAACGTAAGCGATTTGCAAGCATCTTGGAGGCAGTTTTGAGCTTCTTGGGGGGCGCCTTGGAGGCATCTTGGAGGCCTCTTGGGGGCTTCTTGGAGGCAGCTTTTGAGCTTCTTGGGGGCCTTTGGGGGGGCCTTGGGGGACAGTTGGGCCCTTTTGGGGCCTCTTGGGGGCGTCTTGGGGCCTCCTGGGGGCCTCCTGGGCCGTCTTGGGCCCTTCTTGGGCCGTCTTGGAGCCCTTGTGGGCGCCTCTTGGGCCCGTCCTGGAGCCCTCTTGCGCCGTCTTGGGGGCCTCCTGGGCCTGCGTAAGCTCATGTTAGGCCGTCTTGGAGCCTTTTTGAGGGTCCCTTGAGCCGTTTTGGACACTGTGAAGGCCCAAGAGGCGAACATGCTAAAAATGTAGGTTGTCCTAAGGGAAATCGATGATTTTGGCCGGTCGGGGCCCTTTTGGAAGACCTCTTGGGGGCCTCTGGGGGCGTCTTGGCGGCCTCTTGGGCTGTCTTGGGTTCATGTTCGGCGTCTTGGATCGATTTTTGGGCGATCCAGGAACGTCTTGGCCCGTCTTGGCGGCTTCTTGGCAACGTTTGGGTCCGTTTTGGCCAACCGAACCCCGACCAACCGAGCTCAATCTGTGGAAGACCCCCCCCCCCCCTACCCCGGCAGAGCCACCCCGGCCCACCCCCCCCTTCAACTCACACGCCGGATCGGCGGATTTAAGGGTTCAAGGGGTTAGAGGTTTCAGGACTGAAATGTTCAAGGGTGTGAGAGGGGTAAGGGTTCAAGTGCGTAAGGCTCTACGGTCTTAAATGAGTCAAGGGTTTAAGGGCATAAAGGGCTTAAGGATGCAAGGTCTAGCGGTTTAAGGGCTTAAGGGCTTCAGGGCAGAAGGGTTGAATTGCGCAAGGGTATAAGGAGCTAACGGGTTTCAGGGCTTGAGGTTTTAAAAGCTTAAGGGCTTAAAAGCTTCAAGGGCTTAAGAGCTTGAGCTCAAAGGAGCTGGCGAGCGAGGGGGGGGACTGGAGGAGGGGAAGGAGACGATAGAGGAGGAGGAGAAGGAGGAGGAGGAGGAGGTGAATCAGTTGAATCAGAAAATGGAGCAAGCTCGCTGGCATCCCGTGAGCAGGGGAGGAAGATTCCCCGCGAACAAGACGGCGCCTGGCCAGCGCCAAGCGCCACCTGGAGTGGGACGCCTCTGAGACGCCCGTGTGGCTTCCCACGGAGGTCGGTTGGACCTCCTGTGAAAATGAATGGAGCTAGCACCAATGTGGTGGGCATAAGTATCAGAGGGGTTAGAATTCGCTCGAGCTGGCTGCCACTTGTCCCACTACTTCCTGGCTGGACACCCCCCCCCACAGCGCGCGCTGGCACCTCTGCTCGGTGCGGGGGGGCCCCCCCGCGCCCGCAGGCAGGTTCCTGCAGCAGGACCCCGCCGCGCTGTCCGCCGGAGCGGGCACCGGCCCGCACCCCGCGGGCTGGACGGCGGAGGACCGGACCCGCGCGGGTCGGCGAGCTCACCTCGGCAGGGCGGGGAGGCAGGGATGGCGCCCCAGATTTAGGTCGGGCCTGTCCCTCTACAGGAGGCATGCTCGAGAAGGGACAACAAAAGTGTCTGGGGACGCTTTTTCCCACTATTCCTGGACCTGTGATCTACTGTTCTTCCAAGATCCGCCTGTCGGAGGACATGCCCGACCCAACCTCTGAGCTGCGGCGACAGGTTTTGCTTGGTCACGGCGTTCTTTCGGCCTCCGGGGCCCGTGCTCGGGCTCTGGGGCCACCAACAAAAACACCTTGGGGCGGACACACTACGACAGGGGTCGAGGCCTGTGGGGCAGCGTGAGGCTTTGGGGTCGAGGCCTAAGGGGTCGAGGCCTGAGGGGTCGAGGCCTGAGGGGTCGAGGCCAAGGGGTCGAGGGCCAAGGGGTCGAGGGCTAAGGGGTCGAGGCCCAAGGGGTCGAGGTAATGATGATGAGGAGGAGGAGGAGGAGGAGGAGGAGGAGGAGGAGGAGGGAGGAGGAGGAAGAGGAGGAGGAGGAGGAGGAGGAGGAGGAGGGAGGAGGACGAGGAGGAGGTGGAGGAGGAGGAGGAGGAGGACCTCCCCGTCCTACCTATGGCAGCACCATGGTGGACAACTGGCCCATCAGCTCCGCAGGCGCGGTGCGCAGTGGCCGCCCCTCCCCGCCAGGAGGCGGCCGTCGTCCACGGCGCGCTGGCGGCCGGCGCCGCCTTCCTGCAGGCGCACCACGAGCAGG